TCGCGAAGCTCTTTCTGATTACATTTGATTTAAAAAAAAAAGGAAAAGAGTTTTCTTTAACAAATCACTGTTAATGAAAACAAAGTTAGAAAGAATCCACGAAAAGAACAACAGAATCAAGGCCTGGTACCTATGGCATGTACTGTGCAAGCACGGGCCGGGGGAAGGAAATGAAAGAAAACATTAAAGGCGCCCTCTATAAACACCATGAAGCAAAGGGCGACAGCACACGACGTGTCGCGTCGTGCGTCGTGTCGTGCGTCGCGCTCGCGTCGTGCTTCAGGCGACGCGATGCACGACACGACGTACGGCGCGACGCACGACAGCACGACGCGACGTGTGACGGAAGAACACCATAAGGTTGTGTTGCGCTTCGTGGGCACCTCTTTGTAAAGAATTTGCATATGAATGAACTTTATAGAGTGGATCAGATTGCGCCACAAGGGACAAATCTGCTAGGGTGAGTCTACTCGAAATTGTGTCCGACACCCAAGGGTGCACCCTCGCAAAAAGGCCCTAAATATGTCCGCCGAGCTCATTAATAAAAGTTATAGACTCAAAATATTCTATATTAGAGAGTCCTGAGAGCCATGAAATTGAGGAATTGGAGAAATATGGCACTGAATCCCTGGCTCGGACTCTGGGCTTCAAATTCTGAATAATTTGGATGCAGTTGGGTCCGAAAATGGCACTATTTGGCCGTTTTGCAGAGGGATGGTTGTTCAAAATGGCTACTTTTCTGGGCAGGGACATTTTCTTCATCTTAGGGGTGGTCTGCTTCTGGTGAAAATTTCTCAAAAATTCATTGGTCAACCCCCCGAAAATTGAAAGGAAAATGAAAGGGGACATGTCGATCATCGTATTTCTGTGCAGCCTGGACACCTGTGAGAGTTGTGAGTATTTTTAAAATTATTGCAAAGTATGGGGATTTAGGCTATCATTGCAGTCAATGGGAATTTATTTGTAGTGGTGCAGCCCCAAGCAGTTTCTGCCTATTTACTGGAAAGCGCCCTCTAGAGTTTAACAGAACTCGCGCACGTACATGCACAACATGCAAGTGATGGCTGCGCCCACTAGATAATGTCACGTTGTCTGTGCATCTCGTTTTTCTCCTCAAGTCCTGGTCTCTGGTTCATGGAAATGTATTCAGCCTAGCAGAAGCAGGCTGCTTCCACATTCTTGTGCGTCCCTGTTACTGCGACCGTGTCCAAATGATTCCGACACAGCCCTGTAGCAAATGACAATTTGCGAGTTGCGGGCTAAAAAAAACCTTAACTGCGTTTCATACTGATCTTAGCCCAACATCATGTGGGGCTAGGTGTCAGCCAGCCGACTAAGTAGGAGAAAGAAGGTGAAACAGGATGTTGGAACTGAATGGTTATATTGGTTTTGATGCAGACGATCCGCTAAAGGTGTGTAGGCCTGTGACTTGCATAAATATGATTCATAATTTATTTGTCAATTACAAGCATGACAAGCACAGTGATTATGAGAAATGTATTTGCCCCATCGAACTTGTCAGAGATTGTGGAAAGAGTTCCATATACGGACTCCACGTGACACCCTTGACATGATACCCCATGCACAAACCCTATGAGACTGCACTGGTCTGAAAAATTCAGTGTTTTCTGAATAAATGACTTGGTATTTTCCCTCCTACATTGAACTTTTTGGACATGTTTTGCTTTCTGAAGGCTACTGACATCTGTATATGGAACTCTTCCCTCATCATCTCTTTGAATTGTTAAATCCACTTCATGAAACCATTGCTTAGGCCTGTTTTAGAATAAAAACCTGACACTTAAAATACATTTAAAGTAAGAACTTGACATGAAAAAAGTTGTGACATAGTTTCAAACAGTTGTTTGAAATGTGGCTTTACAAACAATTAGAGACAGCTCGTTCAGATGATAAATGTCTCTTTTACAGAGTGGACTGGAGCTTGTTTTATGTATTTGGTTATCTAGATTTTTCATATGAATGAAGAGTGTGGTATGTATTTGATGAGTTTTATAGGTGCAGATTGTAAAAATTGCTCTTTCTATGGTGGCCCTGAAGGGACTTGAAAATTCGCTACGATTGTTTGTGCGACGTCGTGAATATTTTTGTGACGTGGTGAATTTATTCACGACTTGTCGCAAACATTATGCAACGTCGTGAATTTATTCATGACTAGTCACGACTATTTTCACGACGAGTCGTGAATATTTTCGCGATGTTGTACATTTTTTTCACCAAAAGTCGCAGATATTTTGCCCATTAGCTTGGAGGGTAAGTACGCTAATAACATACAGCCAAGATATGATGATAAGCACCTTGGGCATTCTGCACAAGACAGCGGTGCAGTGATCATGCACTTGTACTATTGCATGGTTGTCCACATGCAATGCCAAGTGGACAGTGAAGCTCTGCACTGAGAAAGAAACAAGGGCATTGGGAAACAACATGGCTCAGAAAAACAAGGTTTGCCTTCTACACGGCTTGTTCCAGCTGTTTCCTAGAGCTAGGTCTGCATGTAGGTCTTCACCAGATTGGAAATACACAGAGATGCACAGACAACAGACCTAGCCATAGCTCTGCTGGTTGCGCCTTTGCGTTTGCGACTAGTAAATTTATTCATGACATGTCCTGAAATGTATTCATGATGTCGCAAAAATAATTACGACTTGTCTTGAAAAATATTCAGGGCGTCACAAAAAATATTCACTACTAGTCTTAAAAAATATTTATGATGTTGCACAAATGTTAACGACTAGTTGTGAATAAATTCACAACGTCACGCAAATATTTGCAAATAGTCATGAGTAATTTCATCATGTCTCAAATGTATTTGGAAGAAGTCGTGAATAAATTCACGAATAATCGTGAAACTTATGTCCCTTTAGGGCCACCATATCTTGCTGCACTTGTGAATTTCCTGATGTCACAAGCATTAAAGCTTGAGTTGCTCAATCTTACCCGAGGGGTAGAAACTGAAGTGACATTGTCCATCAAACGTGGATAGGATCCTCCCATTTGATGTGTCCATGACGATAAGTCAGTGACAGTGTGCAAATGCCAACCCTAATAGTGTTTGAAAAACATGGCTGCACACCTCCTTAAGACCAGTAGCAGCCCAGAAAGAGGAAGGCTTTGAAAAGGGGGTGGGGGAGGGTGCTGTCTTCACTAAGCCTTTTGCGAATTAAGCGTGAATAAAATCTGGTACGCTAAATTCTTCAAATTCACCTAGGCCTAACATATGAATTAGACCAACTCCTATTCCAATATTAATCACAACCAGGCATTAACTTGTTCCTATTTTATTCAGTGCCAGATGGCACTTTACTTTACATTTCTTACAAATATCACACCCACTGCCACGGTTTGTTTCCTTCGGTTTTGTGCCGCTTGTTGAGGTTTTTTTTAAAACACTTCGCTGAGAATAATTTCCTATCTGTTTGTGCAGGGTAATCTGATTCTTTTGACTGATTCTTTAACTGATGGAAGTTTTCTAGTTCACCACTTCCTGTCGACATTCCTCAAAGGTAAAATTCAATCTAGAAAGTCATAATTCATGCCCTGCTCAACATTTCCCTTAAACAGAGTTCTCCGTAAGAACAAGATGTGAAAGAACGCCAAGTTCGGTATCTAATTAGAGAAGTATGGTTTGCGGGTATATCATGCGAACGATTTCTCTAAAACTGTGCTGTGTTCTCGGTTTTATTTTGTGCTTTGTTTTTCTGAAGAAAAATTGGCCGCACTTTGAAATGGTGACACCTGCCTTAGAACCCTTCTCGTAGCCAAGACTTCTTACCAAGGAGAGGTTGTTCTTGTGCCTGCCAAACAATACTTCTACACCACTGCACCATGACAAACTTAAACAAATTTTAAATTTAGTACTCAGAAGGTCACACATTCATATTTTTCTCCTGTGACATAGTTGATAGTAAACATGCCTGTTTGTTTTTATAGCATATTGAGAATGGTGGAATATTCCTCATTCTGGCTTTGAGACTTGGGACTTCAATCCTTTCTTATTTTCCTTTTCATGCAGCGGGTCATGATGTCTGCTTCCTAGCCTTGGCCCAATCCTTCAGCCATTATAATGCTGTAGCACAGAAGCTGGTGAGTCATGTACCCTTCGCAAAGGTCAGAGGGCCGGGTGTTTCGAATCTGGCAGAATCTGTCTCAAAGGCAAAATAACCACCCTCCTCGGGATGTGTAGAGAACCGTCCAAGAGGATGATGAAGCATACATTATGAGACGAGACAAAACCCATTATGTTCAATAAGATCTTCTTGTTCTGTGCAGTACATTGCCAATAGAGACCTGAAAGTGCAAACTTTGCATTTTCTGAAATTACTCTTGTCATCGGAGCATTTTTTGCGGGCCTCTGGCATTGATTGCCATTTGTCATCTAGTTTTTATCCTTTTCGGTCACTTCTTTTCAGTCACATCTTTTCGATCATTTCTGCAGGGGCTCAACCTGGCCTCTCTGAGGGACTCCGGCCAACTGGCATTCATCAACGGTTTGGAGTTCTCCCTGCAACTGATGCATGCTGGGATTGACAGCAGCCGGGCTGGTCAGCCAATTGCATTGCAGTGTCTTGTGTAAGTTTACTGGTAGCCATCTGTTAACAAGTTGGTGACCACGGTGTGTTGTGATGTAGGGGATCTTTCACGTCCAAGATGGAAACAACCAAACAGTTCTTAATCCTTTACCAGTTTGGAAGATTGGAGACTGTTTTTCTGAGGGACTTTAATCATTTAAGTTTCATTTCAGAAATGTAAATACAAAAACCACTGCAGACTGCTTGCTGACACGGGTGGATCCTGCTAGGGTGGGCAAAGGGGGCTTTAGGCCTCTCAGAATAGGAGCCATTTTCTTCTTAGAAGAAAATGGGGAGTCTTTTTCATTTCACTGCCTCCAAGAAGCATGAAAATAACCCAAATATATCCCGATCTCTCAGAAAGGGCATAAAAGGTTATGTGAGTAAATTTCCAAGTAATCTGTAATGTTTCAATCCCAGTAGAATCTTTCTCAATGGCAGAAGGTTTAAATCTATTTCAATTTGTGTTCACAGTTGGGCAATGTGATTGATTAAACCATTGAAATTATGGTATCAGAAACATATTTACAAAGACCAATGTGACAGCTGAAAACCATAGTAAGGTAGTTGCCGAGATATTGCCCTACTAGCATGGCAGTCTAGTGTCAGAAAGTGGCGTGCGCCAACTGAAAGGATTTTTATTTAAAAATGTCTTTTGAATTTGGTTGATCTCAACAGCGATCAGGCAGCAACCATACAGCCTCTGTACCATGTCATCCGAGATGCTTCAGCCCCTAAACAGAGGGATCAGAGAAATACTGGGTCCAGGTTACTATTAATCGATGACCTGAGTGTGCTTATTTCCTTGGGGCTGAGCGTACAGCAGGTGATGCAGTTTGTGCACTACTGCCAGGCCTCTCAGGTTGGTGGAAAGTTGTTGGTTGATACATTCGCATATATTGTAACGATTCCGGCTCAGTGCCTGCCATTTTCATGGGCCTTCACTTAAGCAATTTTAAGTCTCCATATCTGCCGGAAGCTGGGTACTGAGTTGGCGAGTTGTCAAGGGAATTTTTATTCAAAGGGGGAGACAGAAAGAAACCATTGTCTTGAGGCGAATGGGCCACTCTCAACCATGAAAACAACACTGTCTGTATGATTTATTGCAGTCCTTGTAAAATCACCAACATCAGGTAAACAACGCCTTCTATAGCTTAGGTTAAACTTGCATTAGTCTCTTGTTTGTGGCTAAAAGTTCACAATGGTAGCGTGCATTGCACTGTGGTCCAAACTGTATAACTGAAGTTTTGATGGCTAATCATATTATCATCGACTTTCCTAAGGATTACTCTCATAGTGCTTTGCCCCAGAGTTATACTTGGATTCTTGACTGGTCTTGAAAGATCTTGCGCGGGTAGCTCCCAGTAGAGAACCAGCCCCAGAATGAACATGGGCAGCCTTTATATAGGCGCAATGCAAATGCGCTGTATGTCCCAACTTTATGCGCGTATCTAACCCATAGCACACTGATTGGTTCGTAAAACAACAACCTTTTGGTAGCTTGTAACAGGGCTGCAGTATGGGCGTGTGACTATTCTCAGCTCAAAGCCGTACACAGGGCAAAGGTAGGCATGATGTTACAATGACACTATTCCTGCACTGGATGAAGTTAATGCAACACACTGTAGAACCAGAACTGGAAAATAAGCAATCATAAATGAAACAATCACCCTAGTAATCTCCAAGTTCTCGCCTGAAGAAAGTAATTCATAGAGCCTCAATTGTAATTTATTGCATACTCAGATAGAATTTGGGAAGCACTTAAACCATACTGGCGACTTTGCAACAATATCTTCTTTCGTCTTTTATTTTTTAACCCATCTGTTTACTGTGTGTTGGTAGTTCATTTCATTTACATCACTTGTGAGCTTTTGTCACATGAAAACACCAAAAGCAGCAACAGAGGGCCTGCGTATGACATCACGTTAAAGGGCATTAATTTCTTCCTCTAGGATAAACTCGAGTAAACCTTTTGTACGTTCATTGTCATTGAATCTAAATAACAAAACCTGTCCTGTGGGAGGGCGCTCCAGGCAGGCCCGCTATTCGTTTTGTGGTTTGAAATGAAAGTGATCACTGTCTACGTCCTTAATTGGACCTTTGCCCACACAACCTGGCTAGCGCTGCAAGTATCCACATCCAGTGAGCAGCCGCTAACCTCTGTCAAGTGTACTAAACATCCTGTGCTGTTGAATAATCGTACACGCCCATCATATATTCCCTGAAAGTCTGTAAGCGCGAACAAAAACAAATTATAACTCGGCACGGAACAGCACTTTGTCATTAACATTTCACACTGCACCCGACTGTTGAGTTCTCAAAAGCTGCTTCACTCAAATTGGACTTGACCTTTGTAGGAATGTTTGAACATAATGAAAATTATACCTAGGTTTTGGAAATCAGAAAGGTTTGAAATTTTCTACCATGCAAATTTCCTGATTTTTGTAAGTACCAGTGCGCCATTTCTGCTTTAATTCCCTTTTTGGAGGTAGACTTGTTGAATTAAATTTGTAATGTATAATAATAGTAATATAGGAATTTATTTATCAAGCGCCTTTAACACAGATCAAAGCGCTGTACACCATTATTACCCCTGTTCACTGGGCCCATGAAACATTCCAAATACCATCTCAGCTCCCTGGGGAGTATACAGCTTGATGCAGCCACTATTTGGCGCAAAGCAGCTAAATTAACCACAATAACCATCTCTGCCCTCACAGGGTACCCAATTACTCCTGGATGGAGAGAGGCCAGGAATGACAAAGTGCCTTACCCAAGGGCACACGAACCATGACCCCAGGCTGGATTCGAACCCGCAACCTGTGGATTTACCCGCCGACTGCAAATCCAATACTCTTAACCACATGGCCTTAGGCCATGGCACTATGCAATATGAAAGGCTGAAAATCCAAGAATTCAAATTTAACTCTTAAATAACCCAATAAACCTAAAAGTCACATTTTTGTCATATTTCCGCTGGATCTCAGGTATTCCTTAATGTGTTATCACTCCTTCCTCTCTTTTTTCCTCCTTTGTAGCCTGAGACCACCATCATTTGTTTGGTTCACCATGACACTGATGTCGATGATGAATGCAATGCCGCTCTAATCACGCAGCTCAGACACCGAGCCCACTGTGTGCTGCAAGTACAGGGTCTTGACAGTGGCTACTCAAGGGATGTCCATGGACAGGTAAGTGATCGTCTCTAATCTAAAAACAATTGCCAATTACACTTTTTCCACTCAGTTGGCGCCCACTCACTTCCCTGGTTATCATTTCCACCTGACCCTTTGGGCTCTTAACCCTGTCTAGACCCAAGGGCGGATCCACTACCCAATTGGGACTAAAAATTTCTGAAATTTCTTTGTGTAACCTTTTGTGGCCTTCTGAGGGTTGAGATTAAATTTGTAATTTGGAAGTAAGAAAAGTAAAGTAACCCCCCCCACCAAAAAAATGAACCCCTTTGGCCCCTTGGATATGGCACATACCACCAACTGAAAACGGAAAAGAAAAAGGCAACGAAGTCAAACTCTGTCCAATTAGTAGAAAAAAATGGGGAAGCAGTGGTTGAAATTTTGAGTCGCGTGGAACTCATTTTTTTTTCTGGGAAGCTGTTAGCACTCATTAGCCTGTATGAGTTATAGTGGGCACGGAAGGAGGGTGCTCGTTTGAAGTTGGTGAAGATGGAAACATTTTACCCAAATCATTCAGCACCCTGCTATTGTGTGTCGCCGGTATTTCAAAGAGGTATTTCAGCAGTCATCTATTACTGTTGCATTTTCATGTCGGCCACTACAGCCAGATGTTGGCAAGCTGCGGTGTGTGGAGACGGTGTTTTGTCAACAATGACAATTTGGCAATAGTGACTGTAGATTTTTGATCCATTTGTCATTAGCTTGCTGCATCAGAGCAAGGGACAGTGCAAACTCAGGCGTCTCCTGGTTTAGGCTTGTTTTGTTCGAAACATCTGAACAAACTGTGTGTATTTTGCCACTTGTTTTATGCAGCTGAAGATCAGCAAGAGGGATCCCACTGGAACCACACCAAACCGGAACCAGCCGGACATTACACTGCAGTACAAAATACTGGACAAGTCGGTGACTTTTTTCGCCGTGGGCACGTCGTCTGCTGTGTTGTGAAAGCTTGGGAGAGCACACCAAGTTGGTCGGTCACCAGTAGAAAGAGCACGGTGTCATCATGCGGTGATAAAACGCTTCATGCTTACTAAGTTTAACAGCGTGAGACCTGATTTGCTAGAGTCGTAACATTGACTCCACATGCATCGTATCAGAGTCTACACTCTGCCTATACTTGCAAGGTTTTCCCAGCTTGAAGCCTGAGTGACAACTATAGATAATTAGAGTTAAAGTCAACTAAACACACTAAAAAAGAGTGAACTAAAGGTAACCTGAACAATGGATGGATGAATTAGTCTTGTCCACTCGTTTGAAACTCGGAGTACTGTGGACCATTGACTTGAAATTAGCTGCATGAAATGGCAGAGAGTGTACGCGGCGGAGAGAGTTGTAACCAAAGGCAAAGTGATAGGTGTAATGGAATTTGCAAATTGTTAGACTAGGTCCGTTGCGGTGGGACTGTATTTTACCGCACAACACTTGCTGTGTTAATGTTGGCGTGGCCACAGGTTCAAAATGATCTGGTTATATTAAGATTTGAAGCCTAGGGATCTTTTGAAGAGAAAAGCAAATTGAAGATCATTTATTTAAATCTCAGGATAGAAGCTGTTATGAACAGAGTAAAAAAGTGCAGCTCACCCACCTTTCGTAGCTTGATTCAGTGGTTCCAATTGATTTCAAAATTGGATATTGCATGTAGCGTTTTTTTTTTCATCAAGAAAGGAATTTATTTCTTTCAGTTACTTAAGTGTTGTAAGATCATGTACATGTTTGTAAGAGGCATTTATGAATTCCAGGTCTTCAGGTAAGACGTGGTTTCAATGTTTTGTTTGTGACCATGCTGCACAGACAGGAAGCCACAGCCTGGACTCATGTGTCACAGGAGAGTTGAAAGGAGATGAAAACCACCTATTTACTTCAACAAAGCTCACAATAAACCCCCCCCCTCTGTTAATGGTGTATCACTTAATTTCTGATGAATGTCTCCTCCCCTGCGTCTATGTTCCCCAAAAGGAGCACATTTCTTTAATCAAAGCAATTTTCGGTTAATTTCGTTCTGCTTTCCAGAAGGGTGTAAAATCCTCCAAAAGAAGCCACACACTTCTGAGGCCACGGAAGGTTGTATAAGAAAGGTTCAAATTTTTGCTTCCCCCAAAGAACCCCCCCCACACACACACGCAAATGGGTATTTGCCTGCAACTGGGGACCCCCTATTATTCCTCTTTTGTTTGTACTCTAACGTTATTGGAAGACTACCCATCTGTTTTGTACACAGTTGTCAATCGGGGACATTATTGTCCTCTAGTGTTCAAGGTCCCCAATTGAATGCAGACACAAACTCACACACCCAAACGCTCATAATACGCATGGTATGTCACAAACTTGACTCAGTTATATTTTAAGTATCGACTGGAGGACTGGCAGCAAGTCTAAAGCAATTATTGCCGATGGGGGGGGGGAGCACGATGACAATTAGGTGCACCTACAGCACACACAAGCACAACGGGCGTTCCGCTTCACTGCATAAGAAAAGACCCACACCCTACCCGCGGTCCCAATCTCCAAAATATGCGCCATCCAACTACAGCCCTGCCGACCCTTATGCACAAGTGAATCAGACGAGACCCGTGAACAGTGGAAACTACGAAACATCTTGCTTGTCTTCCCACGTTTTGGAATCTTCTCTAAGGGATTTTTATCTCCATTTCTTCAAAGTTACTGCCAGTGTCGAGACAGGGATGTTGTGGGGGAAAGTAACATTTTCCTGGGCGCTCATCGCGCTGACCATGTGCCTGGTATTCTCATCTGTTGAGAGCAACGGATTGAGTAAGTGTAAACGATAATTTTTTTTAATCAGTGAAACCTGTCAAAAGAACCGTGGCATATACAGTCGGCTACGACCCAAACTCTTTAGAGACGGATTTTATGTGCGTTTTCAGTGTGCATCGATCAAGTCCGTAGGCCGTAACTAGTGTTAACTGAAGTGAAACGCAGCATACGCATACGGTACGGGGCTAAAATGTTGCATCCTGACTCCATTTTTCTGAACATAGGCTATATCATCTCAATAAAAGTCAGTCATTACAGAAATGCTGGAAAGACACAAATCCTGGACTGAGAAACATTTACCGATGTTGTTGTCCTCTTCACTTCCCATAGACTTTGTACACAACTGCTGAAGTAGAGTCAGGATGCAACATTTTTCCCATTTTTCCCTTGCAGCGGTTAATTATAAGATATAAGAAAGTGATATCCTACCCCCAAAAGTCAAATTTAGCAGCGAAAATATTAAATCATTTAATCAGAACAGGGACGGATCCAGGGGGTTGGGGCGCATAGCCGCACGCCCCACTTTTTAACAAAAAAAATGAACAAATAAATAAGGGAAGAAAAAAGGAAGGGATCCATCCACATAAATGTGACAAAAGTATGGAAACAAAAGTCCCGCTTCCAGTTACCTAACCTGCCTAATTTTACGGTCACGACCCTTAAACTTTTAGTTCACCCCCCCTGGAAAATCTTGGATCCGCCCCTGTAGAAAACACTTTGAATTCCTTTCAGGCTAGGCACATAAATAAGGCTTGTGCACCAAGGGTTTGTCAAGTGATGTACGTATATGGAACTCTTTCATTTCATCACATTTATTATTTCTTAAGGAATATAGACACAAGGTATAAAGCCAGGTGAAAAAAAACAGACTTAAACAATTAACATTTGGTAACACCCCGGAAGGATAACCTAAAAGCAAACTCCATCACTGTCGAGAGGGTCTCCTAAAATGACAACAGATACAAAAACAATCTAAAATCACACACAGAGATTTATACTCACAAAACGTAGAATTAATAAAATCAGCTTGTCGGTATGGGAAGGATACATATAATCTACTTTGCTGGTCAGTTTGGGCAAGATTGCTCCATGGGTATGTTGAAAAGTAGTAGGCATTATTTAAGACTGAGAAATACTTATGTAGGCCTAATAAAATTCTCGACGAATACTAACGCACATTATAAGACGGATCGAAGCACTGCAGAATGCAATGAGCTGGAGAAGTTGAAAGCTCATAAAGACAGAAACGAAATCATTGATGATTCAAATCATAAATGGAAAACTGTGGTGAACATTATGTGGTCACAGAACCGAATAAATGTACCGTAAAAATATGACTGTATTCTAATAGTCTTCATTTTTTCAACTCGGAACATTCAGCTTTAGAACAGGCTAAAAAAATCCTTGTGCCCGGCCCCCTGCATTGTAACTGAATACATGTTTTCTGTTCAAATGTACTATTTGCATAATTATCAGTATGTAAGATAATTTTTTTTCGCTCTCTGGAGAAAATTGAGCTTCGTTGGCTTTAGAATGTCATTTAAAAAAAGTTAAAGTTATACTTTGAGAGATGTATACATTGCAGACCTAGGACACTGTGTTTTGAAAAGTTCTCACCGTGTTTCTGTGAGAACTGTTTACCGTAAAAGGGTTTTTTAGAAAGCAATGTACCTTTCGTCAGTTTATAAGGCACTGTGATTTCAAAACGTCTGAAGTTAATTATTGTAGAACTAAGAACAGGTATGATCATAAGTCGGGAGACGTGTCGGAGTAGGATACAATGCTGCAAAACGGCCGTTGTATATACAAGTAAGTAGGGTCTCCTCACGTGGCGCACTTCAACTTTCAATTGACTTTCTTCATACAGTGTCGCCAAACATCTTTCTTTCTTACGAACAAATTCATGCTCCAAATTTTGTCCAAAATTCAAAATTGCGTCCTCAGATAAACGGTGGCTGCTGACTATTGGATTCTTATTTGTCCACGGCTTGTTCCTGATTGGCATTTTTCTTTATGTCTTTAATTAAACTTTGCTGCAGATGTAACTGTTTCTTTGTCTTAAGTTCGAATCTGCCGTCGACATCAGAGCCTTAACCAAAAACAAATACATGTACAAATTACGATAGGAGGTTGGGTTTAATGTGCTTAAATTGAATGGTATTTGCATGGATCGATTTTGTTAACACGGACGCAAAAAATAATGTATCCTTAAGCCATTGAATCAGAGCTAGAGACAACCGTACAGTGTTGTTCCAAGCGTTTGAAAAAAAATGCAGGAAAAACTCCACGACATGTAGGCCTAGATATGCGCACTTAAAAAAACCACCACAGGTACGGTCGACCGTTTTCAGGTCAGTGAACACGAAATACCACTGTTGGGCGTAGAACTAGAACCAAAGAATATTATGCCAAGTTCAATCGTTCTACTCAAACGATTTCCATAACAAAAACGTTACTGATGGTCCTAAAAAAGGGGTTGTGGTGACGCATACATGCAGACTTTCATATCAAATACATGTACATGTATATTGTTGATGTACCCTAATGTACGTGGCGCGGTTCCAACGGTAGCGCACTTCGAATGTTTGCCTCTGGTGCCTTGCCCGAGTGATATTTTTTACCAGTCCTCAAATAGCATACTCAGTGACATTTCACCAAATCCCAATATTTATGATCCAAAAATCTCAATTTTACTCACCCCGTTACAAAGTTCCAATTAAATTTTATTTTAGCTCAATTTTCCGATTTTTTTCATGTGCAAAATGGACTCTTAAATATGCGCCAAAAATACGAAAAAAAACACATTTTTAACAAACTTTTGTTGATAGTGGAGGTAATAATAATCTATCGGAATTTATCGAAGCTAGGATTTGGGGACCATGAGTAAGGCTTTTGATATTTTTCTCCCCCAACATCATGTCAAATAAGCCCAAAGCCGCATTGGAAAGCAAAAGGTTCTGAACATTTTATTTCCAGATGCACTCTTATGAATATTAAGTTTCATTCGGTTTATCATTTTTTAGAGTGAATTAATTTAACTAGCACAAAAAAATTGTAAAGGAATCAAAAAGTCATATGCGATAAAACCTAAACCTATACGAATTCAATATGCGTGAAGAAATGGGTATGGTCTCGGTCTTATTAAAACAAATTCTCTGTGTTTTCCCCCAGACTTTTTACTTATCAAAAATTCATGGCATTTTCAAAAAAGGCATATAGCCAGTCCATTCTGAGAAGTCCCCCACAGCTAATAAACACATACGCCACCGATGATGGCTTGAATGAAACTGTCCGCGTAACATGACACTAAAACTAGGGTTATGATTGGTATACTCATTTGAACATTTTGTCCGTTTATCGTTCAATTTTATGGGGGGGGAATATTAAAAAAGACAACTTTGTTGGACAAACGGAAGAATGAACTTTTTGAACTTGGAAAACGAGTACGCAAAATGGTGGAAATTCAAGAGCGGGGGCGGCACTACCTTGAAAACCATGCATGCTTGCTTTCTATCTGAGTAAGAATGAATATCTTAGAAAAAAAGTACACTCAATTTGGTTGTTCCTATTTGAAATTATTGAAAGAAAAGAAAGATTGCGCCCAAATTGGTGGAAGAATCTTTTCTTCTCAGATGGGGAACGACGACGCCAGTGGTTGTATATACACATACGTATTTACGTGTATTATATACTACATGCATGTCACCGGGTGTCACCGTCCGACGTATTGACGTATTTCCGTGTTGTCGATCCAAAGACCTGCTGTGTAAACTAGACGCCATACAAAATGCCCTTATAACGCGTTTCCATTGCGGCGGAGTGGTGTCCCCGTTTGTCTCCGCATTGCATGACATTTGTGTAGGGCGGTGTGTTACGATGTTTGAGAGGTTGAACCATGTAAATGCGGCATTCTGTGGAAGGTGGTCGTCTGTTGTTGTGACTTGTGGGCGTCGGCAGATAAAAAGCCCTCGAATCGCGTTTCTGGAGTGCCAGTGTGGTGTCCGGGATTGTCTCCGAATTTGATGACATTTGCGTAGTTAAGTGTGTTGCGATGTGAGTAAGGTGCAACCACCGAAATGACTGGTTTTTGTACATTCTAAGGAGTGCACAAAACCTCATAACACATTCTAGTATAGGTGTGGCGGGCAGGTGTGTTGTCCTTGGTAAGTTCCTCATGCATTTTATACAGTATCGTTACACTGCAGGAAACAAAGAATGTCGCCCTATTGCACACAATTACAACATACAACTTTTCCATTGAGTTATCACACGGCGCAAGTTTTTCACACCCGGTCGCTGGAAACTACCTGCAAAGCATTTCCTTTGAGCCGTGGTGTACCCTATCTTGTGCGCGGCACTGTTTTTAACACAGACAGGCATAATCGTGTTTCTGGTTACGGTAAGTCTCCGTTTTCGGAGACCGTTTTCTTCCATAGAGAGTGCGTAGAATCTGCAATTTTACAGCATTTTTGCTGTAAAAATACGGGCGAATGGGGGACAGTGTTTCGCTGCCTGTTCATGGCGTGTGAGAGACGTGTGCGTTTGTACTTATTATGCAGATGGCGACCAGGACGTGTGTTGTAACATTCATTACACATGTACGTACACACGTCAGTCACATTATATGAGAATTATATGATGACGATGACAGTTTGGTTCAGAGACGAAGTGTGTGCAGGAAGTAGGTGTTAATTTAATAAAAAATAACGATGGAACTCCAAGCAAAGCGGAGAAACAAAAACGTACAGCAGAACAAATGGAGCCATGGTGAACTGGAGGAAGGAAGACATGGGCATCATTACAAATAAAAGTCTACAGCTTTCTTTTTCTTGGAGTCCAACATGCACGGAGGCCCCACATTGATTACATGATTTGGTTAATTTCTCACCCCTTTATTGTTTAGACAAAATACGTTATTTCACAGCAATGTTAAAATGAAATGTGTATTTTTTCTTTATCTCCTCCTTGCTTTTTTGGAGAAGGTGAATACATTCATGGCACATGATCATAAAACTTACCTAGTACCTAGCCTGTGTCTTGAAAACCACCAAGACACAAGACATTGATCCTCTCATTCACACCTGTATGGATACAGTCAGTCAGATGGTCAGCTGTGGGGGCGAGTGATTGATCAGCATGTCTGAAATCTTGGTAAATTGTTAAAATCTTTTCCTACATGTACCTACCTTGGATCCTCAGTTAAATTGCAACATATTTCATATTTCTTCTTGTACCGTGGCTCTAGACGTGCATTTTGGACGTGGTTAGAAAAAAACAAACATTTTTTACGTATGGATTACTATATCATTATGTCAAAATTACTATTCCGTACATAGCGATTACTATTTCGCACGTATCGATTACTATTTCCCACATATGGGAATTACTTTTTCGTGTGATATACAGATTGCTATTTCATACGTTCAGATTATACTATTTTGTATGTACGGTTTTGCAAATAAATTATCTTAGGTAATGGCTGCATTCAAAATTCCGAACTTGAGCATAAGCACCCCTCATCAGTTGAAAACAACCATGCCAGTAGGGATCGAGTGTTAGTTTTGTTGGTAGTGATGCTTACATGTACAATGCACGCATGGTCATTTGTGAACCTGTGAAGTGGAGTTCCTCGAGGCCTCTTATAGAAGCCTCAGTTGCTTGGAAAATGGTGCCCTCTGTTGGTCCCGCTCATGGCCCAATAAACTTAAGTTTAGTCATGCACTGCAACATATATGAATTACTAATCTGTACACATGGTTTATAAAATTGCATTTATCGAATCTCCAATGTGCAAATGGAGATTCACTGTCGATGATGGAGCTAGATGAAGATTGGTTGTGCAGTCAAAGTCAGAGTTTGATCCAAATACACTCACTGTGCACATTCAGTACAAAAGATAAAGCAAATGTGTACATGTATATCCTTATATCCAAAAGGCACGATACTCAGGCGCTGCATCAAAGTGAAATTTTTTTCCCCTTTTTGATAGGTTTGAATTCTTGTCCGACGGACATCACGGCAACACGGTCTGAGTTGGTGTACTGGTCTCCTCCAATGGTCAGCACAGCAAATAGTGCAGGTTTCACTCTGGTTGGTACCCACCAGCCAGGCCGCTACTACTATGAGAACACAACCGTTACCTACACTGCCGAGGATGACGCTGAAGTTCGAATGTGTACTTTTGACGTCATCATAGAAGGTACGCTATAAATTGATAAGTATTTGAAAGGGTACAGTCCATCAGTTGTCATTTGTGCAAAATTGTGTTTCCTTTGAGGCAACACTTTATTTTTCTAAATATTTTGAGGGCCTAGGATCAGTTTACCTGATGAATTTCAGCACAGTGAATACTGCTATATATATTTCGAGAAAACAAATTTCTCGAATTTTGATTTCAGATCAAATTGCTGAGTTGTGTTTTGGATTGGGCCTGAATTCAGCATCTGGGACACCTTTTTGCATTGAGTCAAATGCAGCTACGCAATGTCATGCATTGAACCATGACTGAACCAACGAGTTAGAGTTACCGCCCACACATGTGTTGAGTCAATCAGGCATCACTCGGCCATTAGTTAATTGGCTGATCCATTAAGCCCCCCCTCCCCCAAATCAAGTTCCTGAATATTGTTTTTTTTACTGAGCCACAACTTCATCATGAGACCTTTTTGGCCTCAAAAGAACACAATGGGCCAACGAGATATGATGAACTGCAGCCTACCGTTGAAATGTTAATTGTAAAGGAGCCCATCAACATTGCACTCCTTAATCCTAATTGACAAGCTTTAAAATTCTGTTTTCTTAAATTTCAAAGTCATTCAGCATTTTGTAGAAAACCAGGTATTATGCGATGTATGTGTGTTTCAGCACTGGCTTAACTTTGGGGGGGGGGATTAACCCTGCAGAAGTATTTATAAGAGTTCGCTGCACTTGTCCTGAAAAGTAAGAGGATTAGAAATAACATCTCATTCATAGCTGTGTAATACAACTGAAAACTAAAGAATTTATGAACATATGATTATTTTAGGTCTGCTCAGGTCAATAATTTTGTCAGGTTGGGTCAGGTTAGATTAAGGGACTCAAATTCGTTTGAGGTCGAATTCGGTCTGTATCCGTAATGCTTTGCAGCTTGGCCTGTTTAACTCAATGAGTTAACAGCACAGCATTACTCTGAGTGGCCTCTTTTTTTGTCAGATGACGGATCACCTGTGATCACCTCCTGCCCTGGCGACATGACGGCGACAGCCCCTGCCGCAGCCACCCAGGTCTCCGTGTCCTGGAGTGCCCCCACTGTCCAGGACTCGACCAATGTCCAGGTCTCTTCCACCAGATCCCCGGGTGACCAATTCAGCCTCGGCCGCAACACTGTGACGTACACCTTCAGATACACTAACAACGATTCGGCGCCGATGTCGTTTTGTCGTTTTGATGTCTTTGTTCAAGGTTTGTATAAATCGACATAATTACTTGTTTTCAGTCAACCATGGATCTGCCAATTCACTTTTTGTCTCAAGTCATACAGGTACATGCACATGTAGTATGTGGAATTTTGAACACCCAAAAGGGGCAGCATGCTTGGGTCTGTCTATTAGACTTGCTAGTTAATAAATCGGAAACCGAATATCCAGTACGTTTTTCCCAATGCACAGTGAACTCTTTGTCTTTATCGTAGAGGGTGATTCAGCTACAACGCCAACCATAGACTGTCCCCCAAACATGATGGTCACCCTTGAAGTGGGCCAGGAATCGGTGCCCGTCACCTGGGATGACCCCACCTATCCCACCAATCTCGGCAGTGTCACCGTGGCTTGCGCTCGGAGCAAGAGCGACCTATTCTTTGCAGGGGACAATGACATCAACTGTGTGGCCTACTTTGAGAGTGGGGAGGCACGAATGTGCGACTTCACTGTAACGGTCACAGGTAAGGCAATGCCTTCGTGTATAATCATGCACACCTGGTTTCCATGGAGAGGGCATTTCAAAAGTCAGTTCTCGAGTAACTTGTGCACAGTGTTCTTGGATATTGTGAATGAACCTCAGAGTAAGTGAAGACAGCAAGGTGAAAATTTAACAAAAATATAATATAAAATCAGTGCTCTGTAATATGTGATATTCCAGAGCACTGATTTTATATTATATTTTTGTTAATATTCTGATCACAGTGTTACGCAGCCCTTCCATATTTCTCTGAGGTGATATACTATTGAAATAGACCTCCTTTAAGACCATCAAAATCTCCAGAAGCCCGTCACAAGGCCTCCAATCTAGCATACAAGCCCGTCTCCAGAATTGCTTGTAGACCAGGTGATGCATGAACTAAATGTAGAATACATGTACCTCCGCCTTTGGGTCTGCCTTGTACGGTTTGATGTTCCTCGTGCAAAATATGACTTTTTTTGGAAGGGAGCAAAGATTGGTCAAGTTGGAGAGAGGAATGAAGCTTCAGGAGATTTGGAAATGGCAGCACTGAATCTCACGTCCTGCTCTTTAATGTGAGGAGCACCTTGCATTTTGGGTCAATCACAAAAGGGGTTGAACAGAGTGCGTACATGCACCTGCATTCCTGCATGCAGACTTGGTGACACTGGCACAGCAGTGGCTTCTGATTCCTACATGTGTAGTTTTTTTGCCTAAGATAGGCATGTACATGTATGTTTCATTATGATTCCCTTCTATCCACTTCTATTCTAATTCAGTCCATTATAGATTTGGCCGCAGATGAGCTCTAGTAACTGAGATTGGCATAATGATGCTTCCACCTCTACTTACTCTCTGGTGGACTGGTATTGCGGTTCCTGTTTGATTCCATCTCCTACCTCAAAAAACAGAGCAATTGTGCATTATCCGCTGGAGGCGGAAGCGGCCCCTTCCCACTTTTTCGACTGGGGGACATGGCCCACCCACTTTTGCAGGTCCTATAATGGGATGGGGCCTAACGATGGATCAACCTTGTAATGACTGAAGCCTGGTGGTCTAGCAACTGCCCCCCTCCCACTTTGAAAATCATTCTGCCGCTGGTACCAGGATCCCTATAGTGAGAATGTTCTCTGACTACTCCGGTGAAATTAATGATGGATAAATGTAAGACGCAGTGTAAGTAATTAGATGTTGTGTTTTGTTACCAGCTGCCCAAGACTCTCAGAATCCGAGCATCGTTGACTGCCCAAGTAACATCGTGGAGTATGTTGCCCCAAATGCCACTGGCAAAATAGTGACGTGGCCCGAACCCACTATTATCGACAACAACCAGCAAAACCTTCAGCTGGTGTCCAGCCACACCAATGGCATATTCTATAATGTTGGGACATACGACATCACCTACACGGGCACCGACGCCTCCAACAATGCAGTCACGTGCCATTTCCGCCTTAGTGTGAGAGGTACGTCCCATTAGTTTTTTCTTTTAATGTTGTACCCACAGTGGAAGAGTAAGGGGTCAGGGGTTCCACATGAACTGCTATAGCCCAGTCACCAGTCTAATAGATGAACCACTTTTCCCAGAGTTTGGATTAATACCCATTAGCAATAATTTGTCAATTCCACTTCTTAGATGTTACACTCAGTGTTTCCTGTGTGTTCATATTAATTGCTCACATTTGACCAGTGTTTGACAACGACATGCACTTGAATAATTCATGCAATTTTCTCCTTCGTTGCCCCCCGGCACAGTTGATGATGCTCCACCTGTAATAAATAATTGCCCATCGTCCCCGTTCGTGGCCTACGTGCAATCAGGCCTAACCTCGGGCCAGGTGAGCTGGCCACAGCTCACCGCCACCGACAACGCCGATACCAACGTCCAGCTTGATGGTCCCATGGGCTTTGCCAATGGAGGAACAATGAGCATTAATGAAACACGCTCTGTGATGTACGTCGCCACTGATGACTTTAACAATACCAACATTTGCGCATTTACCGTCATGTTGTTGGGTAAGCAAGCCGTTATTGATTCTATATGTAGTACAGGTCAGAATTTTAGCCGACATGCAAACACACTTAGCGTGTCAGCGTGTATCGAGTCAAACAAACACGAAAGGAGTTAACCGCAAACACGAAACACGCTGACCCCTGCATAACAAAGAACGCAGACGCAGCAATCCGATCTGCCGAGTATAAACATGCACACGCTACACGCAAACCCCAGAACAGCCAAGCCTTTGTTGACCGGAGCAGTCAGTTTCCTAGTTTCGCACAACGAAAAGTATTCAGTTTGACTGCAGCTCAAGTTATTTTCAAATTCTACGGAAATGTTGTCAGTAGTTTACCTTGTATTTAGCAGGCATCACAAAATCATTTTTGAAGGGAAAAAAAAACGTTTTGTGTGTCCATACAGGATTGATGAAAGTGCCCTGCAGGCAACACGCTTTGGTTTATGTACGAATTTCTCCCAAAACGTCCGACTCAGGCACAGAAAGTATTCAAGCTTGAAATCAATTTTTCAGCTGAGACGATAGCACTTTTTATGACAAAACATTTCCTAAATTAGAGGAAAATATTTTGTAAGAAATCCACAAAATATAAATGGGGTTTGACCTCACCGGTCCTCTAGCCAAATTTTAATCAAAACGACCCCCACGGCGGCAATCCTAGCATATAAATAGATTGTTGCTGTACTCAAGCTCAGTGTGCTCAAAATTGCGTGAATATAAATTCGACATGAGGTGGGGATTTTTTCCATCAGTTTTCGACCTTGAGCTGGAAAACCTACCTAAAAAAATCACTCTGATTGTGACAATATTAGGACTAAACTGAATAGCAGAGATTGTACTGAAATGAAAGGAAGTCGGGTCTACGCTAGCAACCTGTATGCACCGGCTGCATACAACGGACAAAGTAGCACCCATGTGAACTTCATAAATATGCATGTTGTGTGATGTGTAAAGGCTGTAGCTTTGCATTTGTTGGCGCTGTATGGAAATGAATATGCAACACACTTGTTTTGATTTATGATTGGTGGTTGGGATGAAAGCACTGGGGTGGTTGTAGTTTCGTGATTGCTTGGTTACAGCACATGGCAGCAAGTGAAAAAGACAAGTAAAAATTTATGCAAGTTCAGTGGGTGTTTTTTAATTTACTGAAATTCTGATACGTGAACTAAATTTCCATAAAATAAGAAATACTTCATTGTAAAATCAGCTTGTCATAATAGTCCTGGCTGAGGACAGGATTTCTTTCGTGGTTACTGTTCATTTGTGAAAAAGTTCTCACGTAATCCGGGAATTGCTTAAAACCGATCTAGCATTAGAACCAGCAAGAAAAGCGTCGTCACTCCAGTCGATCCCTCGAGTTTAAAATTTAAAGTTTATATTTAAGAAAAAGTTTTGTAGTAACTAAATGCACACGGTGGACTACTGGCCAGTTTCAGTGAAATTTGACATTTTCCAGATGTAATCCGACTGAACAATTTTCCCGATCCAAAACAAAGAGAAAATGGCTGTGATAGTGATACATATTTCAATACTTCAAAGACGGTTTTCTTGCCAACCGGGCACGGCATGTTCGTGTACATGTATGTACATGATTTCACTTATTCAGTGCACTGCCATCCATTGTACATGTACTGTACAGTGTACATGCATACACGAAGCTGGAGCGACGGTCCTGCGTGTGCAGTGGTTCACTACATGTTGTCGGTCACCTTTGCCGTCTGCGGTCACAAGCCCTGCCGAGATAAGGAGGTCGGGTTAGGCTTATCATGCATTGGACCAGCAATGCACGGTAAAAACCGCAAAGTGTGTATTGAACAGCGTGTCAGGTTCACTGGTCGTGTTAGCGTGTCGGTTAGAATTCTGACCTGTACTGTATATCCACCCTGAGTTTGAAGTGCATCCTCACTGGCAAGAAGAGGCTGGCTGATGGGGAATTTTCCAACCAAGCTTGTTCACATGTGAAAATGAAAATCTGAGTTGACCGCTTAGCAACTCTTTGGTACTGTGTACTTTGCCACAGGGATAGGGCTTTTGTGGTGAAGGTATTTCAGAATGAAGCTTTCCAAATAATAAATTGCATCTGCCGAGTTGCAAGAGTTCATAAAAACCACCTGAAGCGGCCGATGCTCACCCCCCAAAAAAAGTAGCTAATGAAGTTGCTTGCAGACTGTCAAGCTTATCTGATTACAAGACGCAAAATGTAGCTTGCGCTGTGCAGAGTTATCTGCTGCGAGGGGCAAACTAATGCCACCAAATCAGTTTCAAATTCCACGCAGCTGTGAAACCTGAAGCAGAACGTGGAAGAAGGTATGTGTAGCACTAATGAAGATGACTTTACGCGTACACGTACGTGTTATCTCAGAGCGCACTCAAGAGTGAACGTGCGTGTTGGACCAGAGGAGCCCACCTTGGGGATTTTTATTTCGGCACTCCACACCTTGAGTTATGGAGAGTTGGAGAGTGTTCTGTTCGCTAATACTGGGGTCCTGTCTTTATTGATGATCACCTGACTGCATGCTTGGACCATTGCACAAAGAATTCACTACAGGGCATTCATGTTAATATGCGCGTACAACCAAGAGCACAGAGACAGTGTATTCAGTGTGAAAATGTAAATTTCGTTACTCCACGATGCAGAGATTTGTTATTGTTTGTTTAAAGTAAGCAGTTTTGTCGTCCCTTCAAGAAAATGTAAATTTATAGAGATATCAGCCCCTCTTACCACTAATTTCAAAGTCATTATGATTTTTATAATGTTTTGCCCAGGCATTTTAGAATGGTCAAGAATGATGTCTGAAAGCAAAATAATGAAACTACTTGAAAGCTTTTACTGAAATGAAAACTTTTATGATACATGGCCAGCATAATACTTCTTGCCCTAAAGCGCCATATTCATCTTTTTCTTGCCGCCTCAGTGGACCAAGTCCCGGATTACACCGTCGGCTGCAGTTCTGACACCACCTACCCCACCGAGATGGGGGTCAACTACAGGAATGTGACCTGGCCCGAGCCCAGGGTGACTGACGACCTCAGCCAGGACAGTCTGATACTGACCAAGTCCCACGAGCCGGGCATGAACTACGAGATCGGCGTCTACATCGTGGAGTACACGGCCACGGACGCCGTCGGAAACGTGGGCACCTGCAGCTTTGTCATTACAGTCGCAGGTAAAAATGATTGCCTGCTTCGGAAGGGAGCCTCTGGAAATATCGTGGGGTTATCTAGATTCCCACAGGGTCCAGCTTGATAAGTCACTCTCTCAGAACAAAGGCGTCTCAAGTCTAGAACCCTGGAATGGAATGCCCAAATACACGTAGGCATTTTGGTTTTACGCAGTTTGATAAGGCGTCACGGTCACAAGTTTTCATTCAGCATCAACAACGTAGACAAATAGACAGCAATAACTTAGAAACAGTTTTTGATGTTTGAGAATGCTTAATAGCGTTTGGGTCCGCGAGACGGAATTGAATACATTTTTTGCAGTTGTTTTCTTTTTCTGTCATTCACATGTTTGAGCATTCTTCTTTGGAAATCTGTGTTTTTTTGCATTTGTCAAATGTTTTTCCCTTGAACAAAACATTGATGACTGTTGTGGATGGATCAGAATGCAAGATCTATTGTAGGAAATGGTAATAGATCGTGTAATTTCTCTGTTTTTCAAACTGGTGTTTTATTTGACCGAGAAGTGTTGGCTAGATGGTTGGTTTGCGCCCTGATTTTTGCCACAATGTCCCATTTCTTTTGCTTGACACAGATGAAGAGGACCCCATGCTCAACTCTTGCCGCGATTCACGGTCCTACACCCTGTCGCGAACCCAGAGCACCGTGGATGTCTCGTGGACCAACCCGCCAGCCACAGACAACAGCTGCTTAGCCCGCTCCAACTGTGACACCGTGCTCTCGGTCACCAGCAGTAGCAACCCAGGGCCGTTTGGAGTTGGAAACCACACAGTGACCATAACAGCGAGGGACGAGGCTGGCAATACAGATACCTGCACTTTCTATATTAATGTCATGGGTGAGTAGGAGACAGACATTTCTTGTCTCCGGCTGCTTTGGTTTAACCACATCTGAAATCCAGTGCCTCTACCCGGAAATAAAATCAAGGCACAGCATTAAATGTTGCAAATCCGTCTCTCTAATATTTCATTTCTTCTGTCGTCTTTTCACTACTCCATATTTCTAACAAACATGGTATACCTATAGACAAAATACATCAGAGTTTCATTCTAACCAGGCGCACATAGTTTCGTTATCATAATTCTACTGCTCATTTGCAAAGCTGTATTTCATGAGAAAAAATGTGAACAATCACTGATATCTTGGGCTAGTCACTTATACGTACATGCCTCTGTTCACCCTGGAGTAATTGGATACCTGTGAGGGCAGACACGGTTATGTTTATCCGTTTGCGCCTGATGTGGCAACATCGGGCTAGTTTACTCCTCAGGGAGCTTGGGCGGTTTCAGGAATGCTCATATGTTGTCAGCCCAATATGCAAGGATAATGACAAACGTACTGATGTCTTTAAATTACATGTACTGTGAGATAATTTGCACCTTATAAACATTTCAGTGTTATTTTTAGTAGTATTACCAAGGAATAAACAAGAAGTCACCCAAAGTGTCAAATGACTGATGTTAAAATGTGCACATTAGAAAGCAGACGGAACTGTGAATGTCTTGATGCCAAAAAGTGTTTATGTTGCGATGTTGCAAGGAGTAAAGTGCAAGGCTATCACAAGTCCCTGCAGGTCTATTACATCTTAATGGCAGCTGTGCTTGTCAAAAGACACAAGTTACTTGTATGTTACTGGACTGTGACAAAACGTATTCCTTTCTCACTGTTTACCCTGATCATTGTGACTGTAGAGACTAATGAAAGGGCTAGCTAGTGACAAGATTTGTGGTAGAGTATTCACAGATTTTTTTCATGTCCGGGCTGTCTTAGAACCAATTTTACAAAACAATCTGAAGTCAGTGGAACGTGCTCCCACATAGGATTGACTGTTTTGCCGCAAATAAAGCCGTGGTGGCACTACTGTCGATTGGAAACAAATCAAGTTTAAATTGAAGGCCTTGTTTTTTAACGTAATGGACCTTTGCCATGAGATATGCAAATAAGGCTGGTGCATGCACATTACTACCACTGGTTGGCAAAGTTGCTTAAATCTTTGATGTAACTATACAAATCTCCATACGCGCATCACTATCGCCGTTTCTGTGCCAGTATAGGTTGACATGAGTGCCAAACTTAAAGACAAGGAACTTTTACTTTCCAACCTCAGGACACGGAAAACTTCACTTACGTATAGTTTTGAGAAAAGCGTGCTCAAGTATCGGGCAAAGGCTGTAATATGGTTTTGACAGTCAATGCTCCAGGTTATGGTTACAAGCAGCTCGCCTACGCTACCGACAGTGCTGACGGCCGCACTTGCCAACCAGTGGTAGCAGCATACATACGCCCGTCCAATTTGCATATTTCATGGGAAAGGTCCATTATTGAAGCTGGTTGTCAAGAGGGCACTTTTAAAACTATCTTTGTAGCGTATGTTCGAGACACAATGAAACCGGAGTGGGCCAACTGTCCCTCATCACCCGTCTCTGGCAACACCGACAGTGGACAGCCGACGTACACGTACTCTTGGGTGGCACCCACGGTGACAGACGATCGCGGCATCATCGTCTCCCAGTTCGCCTCACACTCTTCACCCTTCGCCTTCCCCATTGGCCAGACTACCGTCACGTACCGGGCCACAGATGCTGAAAATAATGAGGGGCTCTGCACGTTTCCTGTTACTGTGACCGGTAAGTTGAATTCACACACCGTATCTAATCATCATAATGTTAGACCTATGCCAAGTTCGAGCGACAACCAACCACTTGCCGATTTTCCCCTGGTTGCCAGTGCACAATTTATTTCCAGGGTACTAAGCAAAATGGACCGATGGTCAACAAACTATCTTTGCTTCCTACTTGCCCCTTACAGTGTGAACTGTCCAAATCGTGGTCGGCTCACTGTTGCTGAGTAGATTGTAATGGCAAACTTGGCTGTTTACAGTTTGTATATTCATGAGCACTTTAATTCCCAGTGCTGCCCGTAAGCTTGCTTACTAGAAGAAACTCACAAGTTACTTTCTTGGAAAATGGAATCCATGGTCTCCTCCTCTTTTCTGTGAAATCTTAACCAGTTTATGCCCAAAGGTGTGTAAAAAAGCTGCAGTTTTCAGTGGCTCTTACAGAGAGGGCGCATTTACACCTTAAAGGGGTGAAAGGAAACCTTCTTTTCCCATTTATAACCTTTAAACAATAACTGACAAGAACATCTTTCAAAATTAGCATGAAAAAAATGGAAGATTCCCACTTATAGTAAAAAAAATGGGCTTCTGATGTGTCCCATTTTTGCCGATTTTAGAAACACTCATGTATTAATGATATGCCGGTGACCCCAAAACGTCATGGGGAGATACAGCTGTAAACATGAACAGTGCGTATCTTTCACACTAGTCTCGTAGCAGAGGCATGCTCAAAATGCAATGGTCTTGCACACTTCTTGTCCACTATGTTGATTGTTCCAGCCATCAAGTTTGAAACATGATTGGTTGCGTTTTTGTCATAAAACAAAACAAAACCCTGTCTTGTGCAGTTTGTAGTTGCGGACAGGAATCTCGTAGACTGCAGAGACTTGGTCTCGACGTTTCCGTTCAGTACCGTATTGAATCGATTGTTCTCAGACAGCCCATTAAGGGTTGATTAAACCTTCCCAGTTGTCGTTGATAAAAATAATATGCTGAAGGATTTTTGAGGACTGCTTCGACAAATATCCAGTGTCTGAAAAAGCACTCTGAACTGAGAAAAGCAATGCATAAGCCTCGCCGACTGCTTGTTTTGTGTGGCTGCTGCGGTGTATGGTGCTGTGCTGCTGGACCAAGGCAAGGTTTGTTTTTGGGACCGCCACAGCAGCCCAGCAACACTGACAGGTTGTGTGCCGTCTTCGTCCTCACTCATCGACGAGTAAATGGTTACTTGCACGAGAAGAATCCTACACGTGTTTGTGTTTATCTCTTTTCCTTTGACACACTGAAATTGTAGGCTCGGCAATAAACAAGCCCGCACACTGTCTTTTCTAGAGCTGAAGCTTCCTGTGTACACACATTACAAGGTAGCCCACAATTCAGCCCCAAGATTACGGTCTGGGCACTGACTCCTAAACTGTGCGCATTACTCTATGAATAGTCTGTTGCCACACTGCACGTGAACACGAGTGCACTCTCACATGTATGCCACAACAAAATACGTCCCTCTCCCCTCTCTACCTTCAACGTTGCGTACTCGTTCATTTCGGAATAAATTTCACCATTATTTTGACCAGCGAAGAGTAAGATTTTAGGTTTACACATCTTAGAGATTAATGTAGAATATTTTGCATTTTCTACACATCATCAATAAATGTTTTAATGCATTCAGGGGCCACAATATTGCCAGGTTACATGGATCTTCATGCATGCTTTTTGTTCCTTTCTCCCCAATGATGTCATCAACTCAACATAAACACAAAATTTGACCTTGTGTGTTTCCGAAATTGGCCTAGTTGGTCGTGGAAAGAAAATTGCCTCTTGTTTCTCTCGTGTTGATTTTCAGGAGATGAATCCACTTTATACTAGTTTGTGGGTGGCCAATCTGCCTCCAAAACCCTACATATTGAAATATTTGAAGCCTTTTCCCTAGCACGTTAATTTGCCCCGGGGGTGATCACAATAGGAGGTTATTCTGTATGACTGAGAATGTGTCCATGAAGTGGGGGCTGAATGGATATACTCAAAACTCTTACCTTCTTACCTCTCCATTCTGCCTTATGACTGCCTTTACTGTAATTGTCTTCTTTTGCCCCCCATTTCAGACAATCAAGCACCTGCATTTACTCCCAACACGGGTTGCGGATCCACCATCACCCACTACGTGCGCACAGGCCGCACCCTCACGCTGGCCGTACCCACCCCCTCAGCGACAGACAACTCAGGCGTGGCACCCACCATTACCAATTCAATAACCAACCAGGCTACCTACACCTTCAGCGCTGGGAGCCAAATGTTTGAGTACACGGCCACAGACGGTGCGGGGAAGTTTGACAGCGATTGTCAAATTACGGTGGTTCTGGTGGAAGGTATGCCCACTTGGACGTATTTGTGAAAACTTATTCATACATTCAATCGCTCTGCATCCAACAACCTTTTAAAAAAAACGGCAGGGGGGGAAGGAACATTACATTTTTAACACTTGTGATGAAAAAATAAGTGGACATGCTGCTCAAAAGACAAAGAAAAACAGATAGAATTTTGCAGGGTTTTATAAACAACAGGTCAATGGTTCCTCCATTTCTGGGTAGAAATAATGGGAGCTGTTTCATATAACCTCCTTTATGAGCTGCTAACCTAGCCCAAATCTTATGGCACTTTTACCCAGGCTTTTGAGCTGGAACAATACACCTACGTGTACATGTACACACAGAAATGTTTTGGGGGTAATCGTGGACGTTCCTATTGTCCTTTTTTGTTCAAACTTTTACTTTTTAACTTTAACCTCTAATATGTTTTGTACACGTTTGGCAATCGTGGACGTATCAGGAATCGTGGACAGTCATTAATTCTTTTGTTTAACGTCCACGATTGTCTGGGAATATCAGTGCATCTGTACACACCTGGCTTCCTTCAGTCGTTTACATGTTTCTAACACTTAACCCATTGATGAGGGCAGACTGCTATAGCTGCAGCTCAATGGGAGGATTTAATAGTTCATGCTACGTATACATTCTATTCATCACGCACCTGCAATTTCAATGTGGGCCTGCTGCTGGTCATGGCTTTGCTTACTGGGCATACCGTCCAGCAGTCAGGGTCAAAACAATCCGGGTGTTAAGGGGTTGATCATATTTGGCCTTTCCATAAACAATGATGTCCCAACCTGAAACCCCTGACGAACTGATCACATAGATGTTTTGCAGTTCAGATGTGTGCTTTTTTTCACCCTGTTGTCTGGGTTCTGTCTTCTACGAGTAACTTGCATTCACAAGTGAATATTAGCCACTTTGCATCAGAGGACACCTAAGTTTAATCTGGCTATCTGTACACGCAGACATGGTCGACACATTAAAATGTCAAGCATGCTTCTACTCACCTCTGACTGGCGTCAAAAATAATCCCACATCTGCATCATGTGCCCATACACACAATGTTCTAGAAGTCTGTGGAGGCAGACCGTTTGTTGAACTTAAAACTTGGTTGCTGTGCATGGCCTACTGTGGTAGCAAACGCGTCGAAAAATATAAGATTGCAGTAAGAAACGTCGCACATATACTCTTCAAATGACTCTTGGGATTCAGTAATTCTGGCGGATGTCTGCTGCATTTCAAAGGTGTAAGGCAGCTATTATCTTGCCTTTTTCAAAAGTCAAAGTTTTGGGCCAAATATAATACCGTCCACAAGTGTTTTAAAGCCTCAAGTCTTTGAGTCAAAAAGCGAAAGAGGATGCCACATGGTCACAAGAAATTTGAAGCCAAATAAATTGTATAAAAAGGGGTGTTGCAGCACAGTGGCTTGTGTCTTCATTGTCTGATCTTGGCTAAGTCCTAAAGTCGTGGCTGTGGCTTGGAATAACATGGGTACTTATGGGAGGCGCTAGTCAGTGGCTGCAGTCACTTCTCGCAGACACCTGTGTTTAATACTGCCAGTGCAGCTAGAACACAGATTGTCCGCACTTCATATCCTATGAGGTACTCCATATGTTTTCAATTTCTGCCAGGCCAAAGAGTCGGGTGTACAGATTTAGCTCCATCTGTCAGGAGAATGATGAGACACTTCTTTGATGAAACTAAAGAGGACACAAGCAGTATGCCAGTTCAGATTCAGTGCATTCCCAAAGCCACCGGCATCAGCCATTATTAGGCCAATCAATTAAGCCCCACCCATTATGAGGCTAGTAAAAGGTGGGGGCCAGGCCCCCTAGACAAAAAGTGGGGGGCCACTGCGTCCCCCCCACTTCCGTCGCCAGTGAACAAAGCACATTCAGCTCTCTAGCAATTATTCACTTGTCCATGTCATCTGTCCTTGTTGATGTGAATCACTTTGTTTCATCTGATTTGATTGATTAGATTCCGATCCATGGTCGGTGCGAGGTTCGGTCACGTTGACGCGCATCCGGGGGGTCGCTGGGCAGTTCTCTGATGCCTCGTCCACACAGCTGCTGGCCGAACTGACAGAGGATGTAAGTGCATTTTAACCTCTTTGCACCAGAGGCCAGATTGACAGTATCTGGTTATGTTGGTACACAGGCACGGCTGATGGGTCGAAATGTCAGGAGCGACTCAACTCACACCTCAGGCTGATGTTCATACACGTGCTAATCCCCGTCGGTGTTGTACACACCCAAAGCCCGAAAAGTGTGTAGATGTGTCAAACTTGAATTTGGCTGCTGTGCCACGGCCTCACGTAGTTGGCACATGTTGCCTCGTCAAAAAGTGTGAGGTTACTGTGTACCACACAAATACTGTTCAAATGTCTCTTGAATCGGTCCTTTTGGCATATGCCTGTATATCAAGAGTCAAAGCTGAGGGCTCTATTTTACGTCTCTTGAAAATCTGAATTTTTGGCCAGTATTTGTACCTTCCACGAGAAGTTAGATACTCAAACATTTATTCTGTCCCTTGGACTGAAAACAATTTCCAAATAATATCTCTTTTTAAAGTGTCCTTTCTCCAAATTTTTATTTAAGTGGAAGGTACCCAATAGTATCCTTAAAAAACAATACTACACAAATGAAAGTATTTAGTCTTGAATTTTCTAAAACCCAGATCATAATGAAATAAAAGTATTCAAATATTTTAGCCTTTGCAAGCTTTTTTTCCAAATACTTCCTGGTCCTGAATTTTCTAAAACTGAGCACGAAAAAACTAAATTTCCTCAAATAATTGCTAATTTTTTTGTGGTCAAACGAGTGCCATTCACAGAAACTCTATCCCCCCTCACTTTTCCCATCTCAATCAGTTCTATTTTTCTCCTCACAGATGGACAGGCTCTTCCGTGGCTCTTCCATCCGCTCCCACTTTGTCGGGGTGGACTCTCTCACCCACACTTTTGTCGGAGGAAACCCGCGGGTCACCTTCCGACTGTACTTCAACAAAGGCCGGGAGGGACGGCACACGTCCCGGCAGATCACCGAGGCCTTCTACGCAGCCCTTAGCAGCTCACGTAGTTTCGCCACCAATAACTTTGTCCTCTCAGGCTCCCTCGATATCCGTAAGTCATTAGGGGTCAACCGGGGGACGGGAATTTGAACACTGTGGTGCCCCGCCCAAGTGGAAGGATTTTGATGAATATGTATGAGTTAGACACTGCCCACTCCAAACAGCATGGTGTCAAAATGCATGTATGCCTCAAAGAGTGTTATTGTAGAAGTATTGTAGAGTGATATACATAGAGATATAAACAAAAGGAGAAAAAAAATCATTTACAATCAGCAGTTATCCTAAAAATATTGAAAAGACATCAGCTAAAAACCAATTGTACAAAAGCTCAGATGAAGTCATTCTGTCTGAATTATCAATATGAGACTTGGAGAGAGAAAAAAATTAAAACTCCAAATTTTGGCCACAGGGATTTTTCCAGATTTTTGCAGCAGTTAATTGTTACAATACGGAGATAACTTGTAATTTGATCTGATGACACACCATGTTAACAAGGTTTACTGGCGAATTGCTCTGCAGCAATTAGCAGAAAACATTCTCTGCAGCCATCCATTGTGACTCTGTTGTTTGATATTTTAAACAAAATAATGCAGATAATGAATATTTATGAGTTCAGTGGAGAGAATAATGATTGAAAGTTCTCATCCTTGAGACATGTTAAATAGTTCTTTCATGGCACTTAGAATGCGAAACATTCAATATTTGTTTGATGAAATGCCTGAAGAAATCCTCTCTGTACACATCACCATTCAGCTCGACAGGAAAATTTGATACTCTCTTATTGATTGATTGATTTATTTATGTATTCCATTTCTTTACCCAGGGTCTGCCCAAACAGTTTCAAACTGGTTTTCATTGGGGCCCTGTGAACATAAATTAATACGATAGTTAGAAACTCACGATGAAAAGTCAACTTGACAAATACGACAAACATTAATATTTACAAATGCAGACCACTACAACATCATACACACGTGAACATTTAAATAATCAAGGCATTAATCAAACACTGATCATGGGATGGGTGAATACACCCCTCACAAAAAACCTATGGAAAAAAACACGGGGAAATTCCCGATCCGGCTCCAATGAACATTGGCAACCAAGTTAACAACGCCGCCATAAAGTCTTGAAGCCGTCTTAAAGCCGGCGACAGAAATTGTATCTGTGCGAAGAAGGGCAACTGCTTTCCTTGTGTGCATGCGTACGGCATTCTTTGCCTCTGTGAACGGCCAGGTCTGGTCCTGCTCACATGGATATCTGCATAGTGCGGATAGAATGGTGGGCCCCACCATTGACTGTCCTGAATAACTCAAAGACACATGACTTGGGATCCACCTGTCAGATGCTGGTGTTTATTCAAGTGTCGCTGAAAGTATGGTTGGTCTCAAGTGGTTTAAAATCGTGTGCTACATTTGAATAATGAATGGCAGTTGCCACCGTTTGCGTAAAAGAATCTTTGCAGTGACAGTTATTAACAGAATAAAAGTGGGACTGGGCAGTTTTAATTTTGTCTGTTTAAAATTGGCTAGGGGCCTCTGGATGATTATAAACTAGAATTATTTTAGTTTCTTTGTACGGAATGGTATAATGGGCTTTTACTTGAATGTTTTGCAGATGTCCGGGAGTTCAAGCTGACGTCTACAATTATTCAGCTGGACAACACGCCCAATCCAGCCTTTGTTAGCTCATATGATGAGCCCAAAAGCTCTGTGTATATCGGCCTGGAAAATCGCATCAACATGGCGGTAATTAGTACACAGTTTTAACCCATTTAGTTGTCTCACAGTGGCCTGATGTGATCTAGGGCCAATTTCATAGAGCTTCTTAAGCACAAAATCTGCTTAGAAGAGGGCCACGCAGGGCCACAAACCGAGAATTTGCAGTTTCGGAGGTGGTCTTTGTGGCCAAGCAAGCCTGGAATTCTTAGAGCCGCCTTTTTGAAAAAAGGCCCAGTGCAAGGGGTTAAAAGGTACATCAGGTTGGAGTTGGTAGGGCCATGTCCATGGGAGTTGCCGGGAATTTGTTTACCAGGTGGGAGGCCAAGCACTCAGCAGCAAGCTAGCAAAACATGAATGGAGGAAGGAGTTCATTTCCAGGGTGTTTTCAAAATAAATTGCTGATTATCATCCCCTTTCCTCCTTTTTGCTCTTTCCTCTCATTTTTTGGATTCCCCATTGGCCCCCCTTCCGCAATGCCAGTGGCCCTGTCTGAATCGTAATGTACCTTGAGAAAGGTCGGTCTGTATCAGTTGCATATTCATGGTGATCACTGACAACAGGTGTAGCATAACTCTGGAAACCCATTTTCAATTACAAATGGCTGATGAATATTCAAATTACCCACAAAACTAAAGAGGCTCATTATCTGACAAAAGAAGAACTGAGCAGGATTTGATCCTCACTTCCTGGGTTCCTTTACCTACATTCTACTGAATAAGCTTGTGTGACACAACAGGGACATTCTTGTTTGTTACTCAGTTGAAACGTGCATTCTTGGAGATTTCAGCAGCGGCGTTGCCATTCGTCAAAAAATTAGTGTCTGGCCATTTGGTGGCGCAAGCCAGACACTGGTTCCAAACTTTCATGTCCTCCATTTTTCTGATCCATATTGCTTCTTTCCTCCATTGATGGAATCCCACTGTGGACTATGCTGTACTGTTGTCCCTGTCAATCGTGTGATATTCCTGATGGAGAACAGTTTTGAGGAAATGCATTTGAATAGAAGACACTGAATTCAGTCAACGGAGCCATAGCCACAACTGCAGTGTTTCCCCACTGGTTATAACTGTCAACACCCCATGACATTTCATGATTAGTAAAACGCATGCAGGCTGTGGTAAGCTTGACAGTGGGCAATTATGTTCTTGCTAAGTTCTTAATCCCATTTGGAGTTGACGTCGATGGAACAGAATTTACCTGTCAGTTTTCTCATTAAAATGGACAATGATTTTTTTTAATCAAAACGATGCACTCTCTGGTCTCAGTCTCCATATTGACACACACAAAGAACAGACTGTGGAAAGCTCAAGGTATTGAAAAAAGTGCTAAACCATCATGGCAACGCCGCTAATGTTATGGTTTACTCACTGGCCCCATTTCATTTTTGCCATAAGCAATGGGATACAGTTCTCATGCGAACTATCTATTCTCTCTGTCCCTGGCCAACCAGATGGACGGCGTCTATGGTGGAGACGCTACCTACTTGGTGTCGGTGCTGGTAGACTTTAGGGATGGAAGCATCATTAACGATGTGGTCTTGGTCTATGACAATACGTCTTCGGCGACAGAGGCCAACATTGTCAGTCAGTTCAATGGCCAGCTGGCTAGTTCAGGGCTGCTGTCAGGAACTGGGCTGTATTTCAGTACTATCCCTACTGCCCAGAACCAAGGTATGTACTGTACATATACCCTCTTGTATTACCTCCCAGCTGCACTGTGCATAATGAATACTATAGCACCTCACTCACAGATTCTGTATCTTGACTGGCCAAGAGCCAGTCACATGACATTTGCTATATTTAGTTGTCCTGTACACAACCAAAATGTTAACTCTGTCCGGCTTGAACAGAAGCACCCCGTCAATGGTTGAAGAGAGCCATGTTGGTGGGGAGTATTTATATATTTGGTCGCAACATCACAACCATTCTGAACCAGCAAAGTGCAGTTCACACCAAAGGAGCCTCCGTTGCTTGGAAAATTGCGCTCTCTCTTGGTCTAGCTCGGGGCTCATACCTGTAGTCAATCAAAGAACTAGAGAGTACGAAGGGGAATACTTCTCGTACAAAATTGCATGCATAAAAGGCATTAGTGTGAGAACCAGGGCATGAACCAAAACACACAAATACCCCATTCGTTTGCACGACACATGCTGGTTCAAAATAACGTCACACTTGGTTACTCTGTACTCATGAGTGCTTGCATTGAGTACAAATTCATACTGATGTGTGAGTTGCACATTACATGCACTCCGTCGAGCACTAGCACTGTAGAGCTGGGTTCAACCATTTTTATGAAGAGATATAGTTTGGAACAGTGCTGGTAAAGTTTCAATAAATTTCGTGATCAAATATACGTATTCTTATACGTAGTCAGATTAAATTAATCAGTTATCTCTTAAGTCAAGCAGAATCTATGGCACAGATGTTGTGAAACAAATTTTGACTGCTTCATCACCTCAGGAGGCTATAGTTTTACTATTCAACTAGATAAAGCAGTCAATATTTGTATATTTTATACCTAAGTTTGGCACATGTGTGTAACAGTTTACATAATATTTTTTGTCAGCTTTGCTTCTTGAGGTTGGTGTTCTTGACTGATCTCAAACTCTGACATGAGGCTAACTGCTTGCCTATCAAAGCAGTCATTCATTTGCTGTTTACTCTTTATCCCAGTACAAACATGGTAACATTGGGGTCCACTGGTATAAGCTGCATTTCATGAATTTTGCAATGAGAATGGACTGTGTGCATGCCAAGTATCAGGCGGTGGATAGTTGTAGAGTATATCGTACCTGGCTGG